ATCTAATATCACAGAGAGATTAGTTTTTAAAACTACTCTGATGCTGCTCAGGTAGAATGACTGCTTTATGGTATATGAAGTCAGTTCCCTTGTTCCTTCATCCATTCACAGAAAAGTTGTGGTGGTTCTATGACGTTCCACTATGTTGGTTTGCTTGTGTATGTGTGGGGAAGAGAGAGAGAAATACAGACAGACACTTAATGAAGCTATATAGGAAAAAGTTTTAGAGAAATAAAGGCTCATTTTCATTTGTTTTCAAACAAGACCAGAACTGGGAGAAATCTGAAAACTTCAGTTGCTTTTGCCTTCATTCCACAACTTTCCCAGAACAGAAACAAAACAGAGCCAAACAGAACAACAGCCTTTCCTTCCTGGCCACAGCAGGCCCACTGCTCTGCCATGCCTTTTGTCCTGCAGCTTTTCTGATAGCCACCTCATGGTGTGGAGATGGTGAACTCCTTTTCTGGATTAATTGATGTCAGCTGACAACAATTTCCAAGGGACTCTCCAGGGTGGTTCTAGGTTCTTGTGGAACAAGAAATTGAGCAGAGACACACAGTTGCAGCAGAAGCAGAAACTTAATTAAGACAATATACACTTCTAAGGGAGGGAGTAGCCTGGAACAGGGGGAAGGTTTAGCTACTAAAGGAGAGGGACCTTTGGCTTGGGGCTGGAGAGGTGGCTCAGAGGTTAAGAGCACTGACTGTTCTTCCAGAGGACCAGGTTTGACTCCCAGCACCCACATGGCTTATGTAACTCCAGCTCCAGGGTATTTGATGCCTTCGTCTGACCTCCACGGGCATTGCATGACACAGGTGCACATGCAGGCAATACATTCATACACATTAATTTTTTAAAAAAAGATTAAAAAAATAAAAATAAAAAGGAGAGGAATCTTTGGCTCATTTGCATAGCACTAGCTTTTCTATCTGCTCCATGTAATTCTGTATTACTCCAGGCATTGCGTGTCTCATTATCATCAGATCTCTACCCAGGGGGTGTGTGTTTTAGTATTATAATAACAATAGGTCACTTTCCTATGCTCTGGAGCTCCTCTGCACCAGTGATAGATACAAGTGAGGGTTTCTTTGCAACTTGATTTCTATATGCTAGTTTGGAAGGCTTGCATAAGGCTCTCTGTATCTCACTCTTTGCCCTAGTCACTTGCCACATGCTGAAATCCACATTCTAGCTGTGCTTACCATCACTGCCTCTGCCTTTTCTTCCTCACGCTGTCTGTGCCTTTTGGCAACCAGCACCAGGAACATACCTATATTTGAACTGTTTGGATTTCATATCTGTTACAGTAAAGAGAGGCACATCACAGAGAACCAGAGGATGTCACAGCACAAATGTATTAGAAAGATTGTTAAGATTAGCTTGGTGTTATGTGAGTCGAAGGAGGGCTCAAACAGGAAGGCTTTACTATAACTTGCTCATTGCCAGGAAGTGTTGTAAATGATTGAATAGGTGTTCTTTCACTCTGTGTTAGAAGAATTCTTTCTTTTCTCGGGAGACATAAACAACATCTGCCCCCTCCTTATAAGGCCCAGTGGCAAATCAACTTATGATTTCACCAAATTCACCCTGGAGAACTGTCCTAGTCTGTTCTTCATTGCTGTGACAAAACACTCTGACCAGTACCAACTTGGGGAGGAAAGGGTTTATTTGTCTTACATCTCCCAGGTCGCACACAGTTCATCAGGGAGCCCAAGGTGGGAACTCAGGGCAGGAACCTGGAGGCAGGAGCTGGAGTACAGGCCATGGAGGAACGCTGCTTACAGGCTTGCTCTCTTGGCCCCTGCTCAGCCTGCTTTCTTATGCAACACAGGCCCACCTGCCCAGGGGTGGCACCACCCACAGTGGGCTGGGCCCTCCCACATCACTCATCAAGAAGATGCCCTTCAGACATGGCCACAGGCCAGTCCAATAGAGGCAATTTCCCGATTGAGGCTCCCTCAACCCAGGTGTGTCAAGTTGACACTAAAGCTATCCAGCACAAGAACCAACGAGTTTATTGGGCTTCCATACAGATTGTAATTCCTCCAGTCACAGCATGGCTTTCAGTTTCATCAACATAGACTGGATATAAGGACCAAGCACAGGCTTCACATAAGCACAATTGACTTTCTGTAGATCACAGGTGTTCACAAAGTCACTAGGGGAGGAGCTCTTCCTCTTCCAGTTTAACTGAAGACCACCGACTGCTATGAGAAGACACTGAGCAGCGTGGGCCAGAGCAGCAGGCCCAGACCTTTCTGGAGCAGCTGCAGATGTCATACATACCTGGAGGCTATCAGAGCTTCAAGTTCAAAAAGAAGTTTTCCAGCCACTGAAAGCTGGAGTACTTGTGACCAGAGTAATGTCCCTCCTGACGTGTGGCCCCAGCATTGGAGTTCCTTACAGTGGGGTATAACTTCCTCAGGCATCCAGGACGTATGCAAAATGGCCATGTGGCCATAAGACCATCTGATAGGTTGCCAAGAAAGGGCAACTTAGTTGAGAGTGCTCCACTCACAGCAGCCAGCATAAAGGAAGGGTCTGTTAGCTGCCAGTCAAGGGGGCCAGATGCCTGCTGGAGATAGTTTTGTTCATTCACAGGAATAATAAATATTAAAAGTGCTTACAATAAAGATCCGGCATTAATATTCCTAACATGATCTAACAGGATCTCTCAGACAGGCATCTGTGAGAAGAGTTGGGTTAGTCTAGTCTTTTGCAGGGTAATTTTATCATTTTATATATTAGTGAAATATTAGCACTCCACTGTAACTATTCCATTTGCTCAACTGAGAGTGTTCCTGGAACATGGTATTTTCTGTGCTAAAGCCAGGACAATTCTGGTCATACTGGGAAAAGTGGCTGTTCCTAATCTTGCAGGTGGGAGAAAAGGGGCTAACGCTGGGGAGTCAAGCAGTAGAAGTCAAGCGTGCGAACCAGGATTTGAGGATTTCGTCATTTTTGTTGTGTGAGTGCTGTACATGCTTTTGCGGAGTGGTCTTGTTTCTGTCTTTAAGACACCATGGTCATGTCTGGTGATCTCTGTGAAGGTATGATCCTGAGTAGGACAACAAGGCTTCTTCCAAACCCAAGGCCCTTTCATCTCCCCTGGCCAGTTTCTGTCAGAGAATCATTTTTCTTTGGTAATTCCCTTCTTTGAAATTATGAGTAATATTTTGGGATGGGTCTAAAAGTTACAGATGTGACCTCATTCTGAGAACCTTAATTTCAGTCACATTATCTGAATAACACACTTAGGTTTTTTCAGCCATTGAAATCATTATTTACCACATTTCAATAGAAAGCAATGTTTGCATAATTGAGAATAAATACTGTTACTAAATGTATAGACAACAACCAGAAATTTCACACCTTTTCCAGTTCTAAGATTAATACTAGAACATTTCGTCATTCTTAGTACCACAAAGAACTCCACATTATTTGAACTGGAGTGCTTATTTTCATAGACACACAACATTTTGGTGAACACTAATAGTTCTTTGTTTGTACATTTATGTACATGATATGTGTCTATGAAAGCATAGATCTTATGTGTGTGGTACCCACGGAGGCCAGAAGGGAGGGTCAGATCCCCTGGAGCTGGAGTTACAGGCAGTTGTGAGCCACCTGATGTAGGTGCTGGGAACCCAACTCAGGTCTTCTGGAAGAGCAGGGGTTCTCCTAAGCACTGAGCCATCCAGCCAGCCTAGTATTTCACTATTAAACTTAGTCATTACTGGTTCTTTACTTAATGATTGTTCCATTATTGTGTTTTTAGGTCAGCCTGTCCTAAATCTCACTATGTAGCCTGGGTTAGCCTTGGACTTGCAGTGAAACTATTGTTTCATCCTCACAAGTACTGGACTTAGAGGTGTAAGCCATCAAGCCCTGCTTATAACTATTTTCCTAAAAATTAGAATATATGATTTAAATTGTTCTGACCTAAAAGACTCACTCTATATAAATCATGGGAAATAAATTTTCTAATGTTCTGTAGGTTTTTTGTTTTAATGGTAACAGAAACAATATGATAGCTGGAATTTAAAAACATTTAGCCAACACCTCACAGGCTTCAGTTGGGTCAGACAACGGGCTGTGGGACCCAGAGGCTGGGAGCTTCAGGAAAGCAAGATGAGGACCTCACTCAGAATCTTGATGTGGGTATTGACTCAGATGGTGTCTTCAAGTATGTGCTGATTTGAGTCCATGTAGGACCACCTCCCTTCTCGGTATCTGGCCAGGGAGCACAGGAATCCTGCAAGCCACAAATGAGTCATGTGTCACATGGGCATCTATGACAAAGGTCCAGGCAAATTGGGAGGTAATGCCTTATGACTGTGGGTGCCTGCATGGTGGGCGCATCTCCCACCAAGGCCGGGTCAGGAAGATCCCGGTGTATGGCTGATACTCTGTACGTTGCTCTGATGCCCAGAAGTCTCTCTCAACTAAGAAGATCAAAGCTGAGTGTCCTGCTATGAGGTCACCTGAGGCCCTGCCCCAGCAGCAAAGTCTGGAAAGACTCAGCTCTTGCTGGCTTCCCTCCTGAATTGCTGGCCCCGTGTTCTCCTTGTACCTCAGACAAAATGCTACTATAGACCATTCTGGCCCACAGGAATTAACAGTATTGATATGCTTTCCAAAAAAGAAGACACTTAACCAGTAGATGACTACATAATCACGTGACTGATGTAGCTTAGTCATAAATGTTACACCATTATATATATTAGAGTTCAGGAAATTTTGTAGAGGAGTAATAAGGGAATGCATAAAGGAGAGCACATCCAAATATGATCAGAATATATTGTATAAAATTCACAAATATTCAATAATTATGAAAAAAAGTTACAATGTTAAATCAAGGAACATTATTTTAATGATTAACATGATTGTTTTTAATAGCCCTAAATTTGCTTTCTATATTGATGAAATCTCTTGATCGGCCATTGGTTTGTTAATAGTGGATGAAATAATATAACCTGTATTGACGAAATTTTCTCCAGGTCCTGAAGACTACCTTGAGGTCAGCAGTTCAACAGACTTAGGAATGAAGCATTCTGGGGAAATGAGTAAGAAAAAGGAAATTGGTGCCCCAGAAGCTTCAAGACCCGCCATGCCACAAGTGATGGTACTTCCTGCAGAAATTCCATGTGAGGTCAGTAACGATGGTTTTTATTCGGTGGCCCTGTGGTTTTCATAGCTACTATGCCATACTATCATGTAAGCTGCAGCACACCTGATATCCTATTCCACTTCGTTCACAACTATGTCCAGGTACTCAGAATAACAACTGGCAAATAGTAACCATTTAACGTATCCTTCTTGACTAACTGGAGACTGGAGAATGCCAAATGCCTAATTTTATCACGTGACAAAAATGCTACATGTTTATGAAGCTACTTAAAAAATTGAATTCATGGGGGCTAGAGAGATGGCTCAGTTGTTAAAAGCACTGACTGCTCTTGCAGAGGACCCGGGTTTGATTCCCAGCACCCACATGGCTGCTGCGAACTGTCCTTAACTCTAGTTCCAGGGGAATCCGAAGCCCTTTTCTGACCTCCGTGGCATTGCACAACATGGGTGCACTCACATACATGCAGGCAATACGCTCATACACATAAAAAAAAAGTAGTAAATTTAAAAATTTGAGTTCATAGTAACCAGATTAAGATTTTCATTTCTTTAAGGAAAATCTACTCTTGGATAGAACTTGAAGTTACTTACTTTTATGACCACCATTTAGTACATTGCAATCGTATGTTAAAGACCGACATTATTAAATGGTAATATGATAAAGGTTGAAGAATCGGTCCTTCGGGTATAAGAATACAAGGTAGAGAGTAGTTTGGGGGGAAAATGGCTGTATGAAAACATATTCACAACATTTCTTGCTCCTAGGCTATCCTTGGATGGATTGAACCACTAAAATAAAGCACTGGTTGAACCTGAGACTTGGTGCTGGGCAACAATATCTATGGTTTCCTTGGAAAGAGCAACAGTACAGAAGGGCCTTATAGGAGATACACGAAGAAGAAGAAGTTGGTGGATTTCCATGACTTGATGTCAGGAGTTCTCTGATGGCTGTGGGTGGGTCCCCTGATCCTGTGGTCAGAGAAGCTGAACATTCCATGGAGCTGGGCCAAGTTTACTTCCCTCACTTCCACCCAGCATGTTTGAACAGAAATGCTGCTTTTAGCCATTTTATTGTCAGTTCTAAAGAAGGAAAAACTTCTCAGACAAGACGTCAGAAACCTCAGGAATTTGAACGGTATAGTTTTGAGGGTGCTGACACACATCCTCAGGCAAAGAAAAGTTACTGCATATTTAAAAGATTCAAGAGCTCAAGTGGGGGAAATAACCAAAGCTGCTATCCCCTATAATGTCAGAAATAATGGAAGGGACACCAGAGAACTGTAATAAAAGTAAAAGCAGCAAAAAGAATTCTGAGACTAAAAATAGCTCCCCAGGAGTTATATAAGGGTCTAAATAGCTGCTTTAAAAATATCTGCAACAGTAAAATTTGAGTATTATAAAAACCTTGCACTATTAAAGTCCCCAAAATTCAAAGTCCAGGTAGCAAGCTTTATTGGCATAGGCAGAGCTCACTCATGCAGATGGCTACTTAGAAGAAGGTCTTTTCAATCACTCAGTCATGGGCCTTTTGTTTTTTATGGATATGAGTATAATTCATTCAGGCCCTGTAAAGTTAATTTATTTCAATATCAAATCTCTCTCAGGAATTCTGCTTCTTAAAAGTTGAAAGATCATATAAAACATTTTAAACCCAGCCTCATGCTCTAAAATTTCAAAATAATCTCATCCTTTGGATCAAAAATAGTTATCCCAGGCAAAATCTTGTGCCCTCAGTAAGTGGATCTTCATACAATCTGCATCCATATGACTGCTGCCAAGTACCACAGAAAAGACCATTTGTACACAATGGAGTGAAACTGTTTCTGGCTTGCCAGAATGTTCTGAATGTGCCAGCTGTCTGAGATGAAAACCTCTGAACTTTCCAGTTGGTGGCAGACGCTGGAGACTGCAGCCCATTCTCTTGGGAAGTGGCATCAGAGGCTTCCCTTAGCATTGTTAAAGTCCTAGAACATCACATAACAGTCCCTGTCAGCCTCCAGGACATGGTCCTGATGCCCCTCATTGGCGCCTTGCATTGTTGTGGCTCTGTGTTTCCATCATGCTGACTTGATCATGTGCTCAGTAGAGGCACAGTCTTCATTCCCTGAGATAAGCAGGGGGTTGATGCAGCTCCCACCTCTGACTGCTCTTCCCTGTACAGTTGCTGCATCTGTTGCCCTGCCTCCCACGGCACTCCTTCACTCTGTCCTCTAGTCTGCAAAAGCAGCTTTTGCAAATTTCCAGCTGAGGAGGTGCTGGAAGGAATCCACTTGTTGCCTGTGACCCTAGGAGCTGGGTAGTATTGATCATTTGACTGTGTAAGCCTTCCCACCCCTTTCTTTTCCATTGATTTTCAGTTTCTTAAGCCATGAAAATCTTGTGTCACTTTAAAAACAGCAGAATTTTTTTTTTCTCTTCAGCATTTAATTCCATCTGCTAGTAGAGATATGAATCCAGTTTTCGGTCCTCATGGGTTATTCTCTGTGTCTTTCAGAAATGAATACTTGAGTGAGCTGTAAGCTTAAATCTGCTTCTTAATATAGCATTTTGTTTATATTTTATTTTATGGGTTTTTTGGGGGTGGTAAGGTCTTCCTGTAACCCAGCTGCCTGGAACTTGCTATGTAGACCAGGCTGGCCTTGATCTCACAGAGATCCCTCTGCCTCTGCTTCCCAAGTGCTGGGATTAAAAGTGTGTGCCACCAAGTCCAGTTCAGCCTTTTCTTTATTTATGATTGGCGTGCTTTGTTTTATTTTAGTATTCTAAGTAAGTTTCATTTATTTATTGGTCAGCACATTGGTTTTTCTAGCATATTCCTCTTGGTTTTGTATTACAGGGTAACAGATCATAAACAGTATGATGTTGGTGAGGTCTGCCAAATGTATCCATTGTTCAAACAACTCATCCAATTTCATCTCCCTGATGAAAAATCCACATGGAAGGCATTTTCTCAGAATTACATCTAAACCAGCATCTCTTCTGTACCTTGCCTACTACTCTATAGTTATGATTCTAGAAAAGTCTTAGACAAATTTCTTCAGAGTGGTGGTTCTCTATTGGAACCAATTTTGCCTGTCTTTTATAGAAGGGACATTGATTATCACAGAAGAAAACTGATTATCAGGACTGGAGGATGGCTAGTGATATGGAGTTTATAGCAACCCAGAAGCTAGAACATTGCCTAACACTCAGGAGGTACCCACGACAAAGTCCTCTCTCATCCAAAGGGGGCAATCCTACACTGCTGAAGTTAAATCTTGTTTCAGATCATAGGAAATTTTATCCACCCACATATAACACATGAGCCACCTTCAAACCTGCACCCAGAACTCAGCTCCTTTCCCAAGACTTCTCTGCAGCCTGCCCAGTTGTCCTGTATTCACTTTGTGGGAACCTGAACTTTAATAGTGATTCCATTAATTCCTTTTACCAATTTTCCTTGAAGCTTTAAGAGGATGGTAGTCCCCATCAGAAGCATGGTTGACCAAGTCCCACAAACCAATCTTTGTTGAACTAGCATCTATTAACATAAACTAGTCATGAATACACACATATACATACACATATGTGTGTGTTCCATAAGTCACTATACAAAAGCCCTAATAGGCTAATAATGATCCACTGAACTCACAATTTCTACCTGTGCTTACGTTTAAGCCTGAATACACTTAGCAGAAATCTCATGACCTACATGTTTTATCATAGACCACATTGCAGTCCTTCGTTGAAGTCTTAAGGTCTGTGAGTAAGTACCATGGCACCTTTTAGAGTTTGGAAGTAGTAATAATCATAGTTTATTCTGTCTCTGAATTCTCAGACCCAAATAAAGGACACATGGATAGTTAAAAAGATGGATAGTGAAATGGAAACTTCATAACTGACAAAAAAAAAAAAAAAAGACATTTATGACAGTTGAGCATCCTAAAACTTTCTTCTTGAATTAAACACAGGTCCCCTTCCTGGTGCAGGCTACTTGCTGTGGAGAGAAGCAGAAGAGCTTGAAGCAGAGGTGGAGGGCAGACTAGAGCCCTGCACACTGTTCAAATTTATTCCATATTTTATAGACTTATTCCATTTTAATTTTTGTAATTATGTAAGAGTATCTGTTATGATAATAATTCTTAGAAGATGCTACAATGATATTATAAAATAAAAATGCCATCATAGCTCAAGTTTTAGCTGGGAAACAAGACACAGATAAAAGTCCACAAGGAGTGGAGGCTTGTCTCAGCAGCAGACAGGAATGTAATGCACTACCTGGAAAGTTCAAAAATTCTTTCAGGCTGAAGCTGAGAGAAGATTCTGAGAAACTTAGCTAGGCTGATGAGAAGCACAGCAATAATAAGGCAGAGGAAGAAAGGCTGCTAGCAGCAAGTCACATGATGTGTATAAACAAGACTGCTTAACTCATTTGCAGTGCAAAGGAAAGCACAAGGCCCTTTGTTCAAAGTACTTAGCATTTCAAGGCAATGACAGCAGATCATTAAACCATGCACAGGGGCTTCTAAGCCTGGGGTCCCTTGTGACTGTGCAAGTCACAGGCCCTTGAAACCAGCCCTGGGTGAAACTGAAGATATAGGTGCCTCATTTAAAGTGTCAATACGTATTGTTCTGTTGGAACTTTTCTCCGCAAACATTTGAAAGGCAGCGTCCTGCCCTCTATTAAGGAGGGAATCTGATGCATATGAAGCTGCCTGTGTGGACCATTATGAATTAGAATGAGTTGGCTTGGTGAATAAAATATTTGGAGGTACCCTCATTCTTTCAAATTTTAGAAAGCATGGGGTCAAACAAGGAGCGACTTAGCACTGAAAAGAATTCAAAAGAACTTTGAGCAAAATGAAATGAGACATCATTGGGGGTTGAGGTGACAAATGTGTGTGGAGAGAAGCAGAAGAGCTTGAAGCAGAGGTGGAGGGCAGACTAGAGCCCTGCACACTGTTCAAATTTATTCCATATTTTATAGACTTATTCCATTTTAATTTTTGTAATTATGTAAGAGTATCTGTTATGATAATAATTCTTAGAAGATGCTACAATGATATTATAAAATAAAAATGCCATCATAGCTCAAGTTTTAGCTGGGAAACAAGACACAGATAAAAGTCCACAAGGAGTGGAGGCTTGTCTCAGCAGCAGACAGGAATGTAATGCACTACCTGGAAAGTTCAAAAATTCTTTCAGGCTGAAGCTGAGAGAAGATTCTGAGAAACTTAGCTAGGCTGATGAGAAGCACAGCAATAATAAGGCAGAGGAAGAAAGGCTGCTAGCAGCAAGTCACATGATGTGTATAAACAAGACTGCTTAACTCATTTGCAGTGCAAAGGAAAGCACAAGGCCCTTTGTTCAAAGTACTTAGCATTTCAAGGCAATGACAGCAGATCATTAAACCATGCACAGGGGCTTCTAAGCCTGGGGTCCCTTGTGACTGTGCAAGTCACAGGCCCTTGAAACCAGCCCTGGGTGAAACTGAAGATATAGGTGCCTCATTTAAAGTGTCAATACGTATTGTTCTGTTGGAACTTTTCTCCGCAAACATTTGAAAGGCAGCGTCCTGCCCTCTATTAAGGAGGGAATCTGATGCATATGAAGCTGCCTGTGTGGACCATTATGAATTAGAATGAGTTGGCTTGGTGAATAAAATATTTGGAGGTACCCTCATTCTTTCAAATTTTAGAAAGCATGGGGTCAAACAAGGAGCGACTTAGCACTGAAAAGAATTCAAAAGAACTTTGAGCAAAATGAAATGAGACATCATTGGGGGTTGAGGTGACAAATGTGAGGACACTGTAGATATAAGGAACAGAAGGGACCTTGTTCCCCACATGTGGCTATGTCTAAGGGGTGGGACAGGAGTAAGAGATGATATGATGGTAGTAACTGTGAGGTAAAATCTGTTCCCTGTGTGCACTTTAATTGGTAAGGAGGAATTTAGATGAAACCAGATCCTTGGACAAATGTTTTGGTGTATCACTGTAATGGAAATGCTTAAAGTATAATCTGATGTGATTTGGTAGCATAAGGATTCTAGTTCCAGAAACACTTTGGTGCAACACATTAGGCTGTAAGTTTTATTGGTGTGATCGGTACTTAATGAAATAACATTTTGATAAAAATTTTTTAAATTAATGACTTTTTAATAAATAGAATTTTACAAGAATATGTCAAAGAGTTTCCTATTTATTGATAGTGAAGGTGAAATTCAATCTGACAAAAGCCATTGAGACATGATATCTGAATAGTCAGTCATAAAAGAATAATTTATTTTTTCAAAGAGTCAGATAACATAGTATGAACAATAATGTGGATTTTCTAACCAATATTTAGAATATCATCCTAAGTTGTCCTGTTTCTGAAAGAGAAAGCAGAAGTCTTCTTCACATCAGATTTGGTTCCTCTGAGAGAGAGAGAGAGAGAGAGAGAGAGAGAGAGAGAGAAAGGGAATGTTTCAGTTAGGATTCAAGGAAATATCTATTGAAAAACTGTCTACTGTAATTCCTATAGAAGAGACACAGTAATGCTCATTCCTTCCCTTTCTCTACATTAACTGCAATCTTTTCAGTGGTAGTATTTTTTCTAGACTTGTTTTCCAAAATTAGGTTTTAAAAATACTTTTACCTTTTGTACACAGACCCAACTTCTCCAAAATAATCGATCTTGAAACTTTTAGCTGTGTAACCTTTAGTCATCTCAAAAACCTTCAACGAGGACTTAAAAAAGCAAAGACTAACCAGAGAACTTCTAATTATTAC